CCATAAAATTTGTATGGAATCACAAAAGATGCCAAATAGCCAAAGAAATCTCAAGAAAGAGGAACAAAGCTGGAGCCATCATGCTCCCAGATTCACACTATATTGCAAAGCTATAGTAATCAAAACAGCATGGTATTGGCACACAAACACACACACAGATCAACAAAACAGAGACCAGAAATAAATCCATGATTAAATGGCTAATTAATGTATGACTAAGAAAGCAAGAATATACAAAGGCGAAAGGACAGTCTCCTCAGTAAAGGATATTGGGGAAACTGGATACCCACATGAAAAAGAGTAAAACTAGATTACTATCTTCACCATAAACAAAAATTAACTCAAAATGGATTAAAGACTTGAGTATAAGACCTGCAACATAAAACTCCTAGAAGAAAACATAGATGGTAAACTCCTTGATATCAGTCTTGGCAACTTTTTGGATCTCACTCCAAAAGCAAAGGCCACAAAAGAAAAATATTAAAAACACAAGTAAGAATGCATCAAACTAAAAAGCTTCTTCACAGCACAGGGAACCGTCAATAAAATGAAAAGGCAACCTTCTGAATAGAAGAAAGTATTTTCAAATCTTATGTCTAATAAGGTGTTAATATCCAAAATATATAAAGAATTCATGTAACTCAATAGCAAAAAAACCCAAATAATTTGATTAAGAAATAGGCAGAGGACCCAAATAAACATTTTTTCCAAAGAAGACATACAGATGGCCAACAGGCACATGAAAGGATGCTCAGCATCACTAATCATCAGGGAAATGCAAATCAAAACCACAATGAGATATCATCTCACGTCTGTTAGAATGGCTGTCACTAAAAAGACAAGAAATAACAAGTGTTGGTGAGGATTTGGAGAAAAGGGGACACTCATGCATGGCTGGTGGAGATGTAAATTGATGCAGCTCTATGGAAAACAGTATGGGAGTTCCTCAAAAAATTAAAAATAGAACTACCATATGACCCAGCAATTCCACTTCTGAATATTTATCTGATGAAAATGAAAACATTAATTTAAAAAGGTGTGCACCCCATGTTCATTGCAGCATCATTTACAATAGCCAAGATATGGAAATAACCTAAGTGGTGGATGAATGGATAAAGAAATATATATATATATTCTTATATGTAAAAATATATATTCTTATATGTCTATATATTATATAAATATCATCAGAATTTTGAAAATACAAATATATTTTTATTTATTATATAAATATATAATATTTCTCAGCCATTAAAGAGAGTGGAATTTTTCCACTTGTGACAATATGGAGAGACCTGGAGGGTACTCTGATAAATGAAACAAATCGAACAGAGAAAGACAAATACTGTATCTCACTTATACAAAGGGTGGCCCTCCCAAAACCGGAATTATCTTCTGGAGCCTGGGTCTGTTGTAGTACAGGCTTCCCCAGCTAGGTGAGGGTTGTAGGAACCTATCTGTATCAGTGTGCCAGCTGGTGTTGTGGCCAGAGGCAGCATTTGGCTTCAGTGAATTCTTTCAGAAGACTCACCATTTCATGATCCGTGATTTATGAGCATACCTGCCCACACCGCGCTGAGTGTTCAGCAGTTTTGTAACAAGAACGGCAGGACCCCTGTACCCCACTCTCCCTATTCACCCAGTCTTGCCCTGAGTGACTTTTTTTGTTGTTGTTAGCAGAGTTGAAAAAAGTCCTCAAAGGAAAACGTTTTGCTGATGTGAAAGAGGTGAAACAAAAAACAGCAGATGAACTCCTCATCAAAATGGACAAGTTCAAAAACTGTTTTGAACAGTGGAAAAAACATCTTGACAGGTGTATTTCCTCAAATGGACAGTACTTTGAAGGTACCTGAAGTTTAAACATGTAAGAATAAATACAAAAATTTTTTATAAATAAATTCTGTTTTAAGGGGTCCTCTCCTTGTATGTGGAACCTAAAAGACAAAGCGACCAAATCAAAAACAAACAAACAAACAAGCTCATTGATACAGAGAACAGGTTGGTGGTTTCCAGAGAAAAGGATGAGGTAGGAGTGAGAAATTGGTGAAGGGAGTCAAAAGGTACAAACTTAGTTATAAATAAGTCACAGGGATGTAACATATGGCACTGCATTATAGTTAATACTACCGTATTGAATATTTGAGTTGCTCAGAGAGTAAAACCTGGAAAGTCCCCATCAGAGGAATAAAACTTTTTGTGACTATGGTGCCAGATGATAACTAGACTTATGATCATTTTACGGTGTCTACAAGTATTGAATCACTATGTTGCACACCTGAAATAAATACAATGTCATGTGTCAATTATAACTATTAAAAAAGAACCATAGATATTTTAAAAATAGAGAGACTGATGGTCCTCAGTCCTAAGAATTTTTGAGTTAGTGAGTCTGAGGTTCCTAGGGATGTCGTTTTTGAAACCCCACAGAACCACTGGTCTAAATTATAGTGGTGGTAGTGGAAAGGAAGTTATTTTGGTTTGGTTTTCTTTTCCACCGCAAAAGCATATAAATGCAAACAATTGCTGGGTTTTTTTTTTTTTCTGGTTAGCTGCAAAAATAGCTTTCTCTGAACATTTCCCCCATTCTATCCATTAGCTTCCATGTTGAAATAATCTCTCCTTTTAGTTTCTCCTGTGAAACAAAAAGCTGTTTTTTTTTCTTGCTCTTAAGTGAAAGCTTGGGGAGCTCCTTGCTGTAGCCCTTAGAATTGCTAAAATGAGTAAATAAAAACAGGCCTCCTGGGTGGAAGAGAATTTTGTACTGAATGGCAGATGTGACCCTGAGTACACTGGTAGAATTTTCTCTGTTGCTTTTACTTTCTTCCCTCACTATTCTTCTACCTGGCAGCAGGGGGGAAAATCAGCTGTGTTCTGGCTGCCAAGGATGACATCACAGTTTTTCTGAGCATTCAGCATAGTAACAACCTGAATGGCTGCATATCACTAGAGAAGAGGTCCCCAGTTTCTAGGCAGAAAAACTGACACAGAGGAATAGGAAAGGAGTCTCTTAATGGATTAGGGACTGGCTGAGCTGGGACCAAAACCCAGGTGGCCTGGCTCCCAGCCTGACTGACCACACTGCTACCCACACAGCCCGGGCTGACCCCAAACAAGCAGTCCATTGAGCAATTGCACAAACAACAATGAGTGATGGATGGTCAGAGCAGAAATAGGCACAAAGCAACTGCAACCCCATCACTTCCTGGCCCCTAAATTTCCAGACAAGCCTGTAAAGTGTGGTCACTTAAATGAGTTTCACCAGCAAGTTGGCCCAGCTTTCAAATTTGGAAACTTTTTGTGGTCACTGCCAAAAGTAAAAGTCTGCCTTGTATCTAAGGGTGGAGAATGCCTTTGAACTCCATACATGGTCCTAATAAGTCTGCAGTATTTAAGACTAGAAAGACAAAGTTAACAGATGGGCATAAAGTGGTCCTGGGAAGACCTTGGTGAAACAAGGCAGCTTTAGCTTTTTGAGGCTCCTTATCTGTGGATCTGTCCTCCTAACACAGACTTATTTAGCAAGGGGGGATGTGACCAATGGATTTCAATTAGGATCAACTTAAATGACCAACTCTCATCATGCTCTCCTCCTCAAATTAGCCACTGAACTGTAACTAAAATTCGTAGTCCTTGCATGCTTGCAGCCCAGGCTTTGGTATGGTGCTAGGCCCAGGTCTAAATCTTCAACTCAAAACCCAGGGTATCCTCAACAAGTATAGCTATGGAGAAGTTTCCTGTTTCAGGTGTCAATTGTCTAGTCTCGAGCTGGATAATTCTAAATGTCTATTCTCCAAATGTTTACAAAGTGACGACTTCAAAAAGTATTTGTGGGGGGGGGGCATAAAAATGGACTATAATACTTGTTTTTAAATAGAACTAACAGGAACAATTTGGAAATAAACATTTTGAATGTGCAGACGAGGTGCCACAATGTCAGTAATCTGAATGGAGGATTTTCTTGGTCAGATGATAGCAGGAACTGGCCCCAGTTTATGTTTGTCCTAACAGGTATTTATTAAATAGCACTTCTTACTTGAAACAGTCCACATTCCCCAGATATTTATTTACTCATTAAAAAAATATGGAAGGTCTGCTCTGTGAAACGCAAGCTTATGTTCTCGTAGCCATAGCTTATTGTAACTCGCATAGTACCTACGTGAGTTCTGCCTTATTTAAGTTTTATGTATTTTACTTAAGTGTAAGTAAGATCCTTGATGCCTGAAATTATGTCTTGTTCGTTTTTGTGTCCCCAGTATCAATGATCAGAATGCCTAGCACATACGAGGGACTCAGTAAATATTTGTTGAATTGAATTATGTTGTAATGCTGTTGAAAGACATTACCCAAAACAGTTCTATGTAACTTCGATTTTGCTAACAGTCTAAGGCAGCTGTGTCAATAAGGCATCATCGTTATGCAAATTAGTAAGTATTGGGTGTTTACAGGGAAAGGTATGTTTACTTCATAAGTGAAGGAGAGTGCATAACTGGCTGGAGACTGTTCTGTAAGAAGCCTTGTTAATTTTCCTCTGGTCAGTCTAGAATGAATGAGTCTTCTTATTCTAGACTCTAGAATTTCAGTCTTCTCATTCTAGGGTATTTCCATGCCTCTCACCTTTCTAGAGCTACCAACACGCTTCTTTAGGTTTCTTCCCAAAGTGCTGTAGCCAACTGAGTCTGCCGCAAAGTCTCAGAAGTTCATTGTGACCCCCTCCAGCTCTGGTTCAAGAACTCTCCAGGCCAGGGGCTTTAGGAACACGCCAGGAAAAGACCGGGTCATCCGCCGGGCAAGCGCCAAACCCAACGAAGCTAGGGGAGCGGTGCTAAAGGCGGGGCTGCTACGGCGAGGGCGGGGCGGGAGGAGGCCCGGGGGCGGCTTGGGTGTCACCACCAACCGGCTCCGGCCGGAAACATGCGCTTGTTTCCGGCCGGACGGCCGAAAAGCACCGATCCTGAACCTGCCGCCGGAGTCAGAGCTGCGACCGGTGTGGAGTAGGCAAAAAGCCATTGGGGGAGGCCAGTCCGGATCAGTCCCTTCTGCCTCCAGCTCCTGATCGTGCGCGGAGCAACAGCTGCGGTCGCAGGCTCCGCCACCGCCTCCGCCGTCGTCGGGGGAGGGGCCGGCCGGACCCCGGGGTCACAGCAGAGGAATGAGGAGAGGCGGCCTGGCCCCGCGCTCTGCCCCGGCCTAGGGCCTTGCCCCGGGAGCCGAGAGGGTAAAGGAGCCCCCCCCCACTCGTCCCGTCACCCTCCCCCATCTGCTCCCGCCCCTCCAGTCTCCCAAACTCTGACCCTCTGATCTCCACTGTCCTCCTCCTATTTTCTGGTTATATTTCACCCGGAGCCATCGTTTCTTGGCACCCCCTCCTTGCCCTGACTGTTCCTAGCTTCGTCCCAACCTTTCCCTTTTTACTCCTCTTTCACCTGCGTCCCGCGTTGCCTACCTCACTTCCCCCATTCCTGGCCTCCGAAGTGTACTGGGCAGTTTGGACGGTCCTCCCGGCCCCACCACCTTGTCAGTTAGACTTTCGGGGAGGGATGGTGGAGTTTTAAGGTGTTTAGGAGTTCAGGCTACTACCGCACAGTAGGATAAAGTTCATTGTAAAGCCTCAGTATAAAAACCAAATGAAAAGACAACAGGCTTGTTCTCCCTATCGATAGCCAAACTGAGGTGTGCCCAGTAATGGAGGAAGGGATCGGAAAAAGTGTGTGTGCAGGAGAGAAGGAGTTTCTAGGGCGGGTTTATGAACTTAAGAAAAAAGCGAAGTTGCCATGAGCCGATGGAAACTTTAGAAGCTGATGATGAGTAAGCCGGGGGCTGCGTGATCTCACTCCTCTTCTCATAATTACTAGGTTAACGGTGTGGCTCTGGTCGGGATGGAATGGGATTTGTTTACTGGGCCGGCGTATTTTTAGCTTGTCGGCTCACAAGGACCGGCAGCGAGCGCTGTGCGTCTCTCCCTCCCTCTCTCTGTCTTTTCCACTTTCTACACCCCCCCCCCCCCGTCTAGGTCTAGGTCTAGGTCGATAGTCTAACGTAGGTGGCTTCTCTGGGTACAGTACAGATATACATGTTAGGTTGAAAGAAGCCAGTGAAATGTAAGAGAAACTCTTATGTAAGAGATTCTCTCTAGATTCTTAAGGAGTTTTCATGAAAGCAAAAGCAAACAGTAGTGGGACTTTGACTCATTTTATTATGGTTTTATAAGTACGTATTTTAAACGCTTTTTAGAAAATCAGGAGCTGTTTATTTTTCAGACTTTGTCTTCTCATACTGTATATTTAGAAGATCTCTGAGGAGGCTGGATCCCTTTGTCTTTTAGAACCTATTTCTAAAGTAGGAAAGTACAGAGTGGACCAAAGAAGTGGTGGTAAGGCTAGTCCAAAACCGTAGTCAATCCTAAGCCCTTCAAAAACAGTTTTCTACATTATATAATTTTAAAATTTCCTTTCTAGTAATGAGATTGCATTCCTGATGGGGTGGGGGAGACTGCAAGGACCTAAGCCAGGTGGCTAAGGAGAATCAGACTTGTAATTAAACATTTGCTCTGCATAATTTACCAATGAATACATTATAGGCAAACAATTACACTCTTTGTCCTCATTGTTTTTTTGAGCAGTTCTTTTAAAGTTTAGTAACCATCCTGTTGTGCTTGTCAGTATTTTGAAGTCTGAACCAAAACCTAAAATGAATGAAGTTGATGTGGCTCATCTGGAGTCTGAATACCAGTCTGTTACAATTTTCTGTTATAATTTCCACTAGCTACCCTGTGTGCCTTAGAGCACCTCCCTGAGTAAGTGGCCAGTTACTATGTAGTTAGGGATCGCAAATGAATACAAATATTAGCTCATGCTAGGAATAATTGAGAAAGTAAATATGCTGAAAAGATACTTCAAAACTGAAATAGGTTATTTAAAAAAAATTTTTTTTTCCATTTTGGGTCATCAGCACCTTTCTGCTGATAATCATCCATTAACATGAATAATTTAGAGTTGAATAGCTATCCACTTTGGACATCTTGTGTTCAAGCAGGAAGGAGAGATGGAAGGAAGATAGTTCTCAAAATATTACTCATTGTTTTTGGTGATGTTGCCTGATTTGACTTACTCCTTTCATTTAATGCCAAAGGCTCCCTTGTTGGGGGCTTGGGGGTGGACAGTAAGCCTTTGCTAAAGGAAGGGCTGTCTGCTGACTTGTATAAGGCAGGCTGATCAGTAATGGATACTGATTGTTAGTTGGACTCGGTAGAATTGTGTCACCTATGACTTGGAAATTTTCCTGAATCTTTATTTCTTTCATCTTTTTCTTTTGGGACACCTATTGAAAAAAATTTATTTTGGAAGGTAAAATACAATTTTTAAAAATCACACACTCTCCCAGAGTCTGCAGACAATCATTCTTTCAGTTTGTGAGTTGCTTAGTGTTAGTTAGTATTAGTGTTATCTGGTAAGTTCTATTTATATCTGTATTGAGCAATTTCCCGTAGTTGAACTACATACATTATTCCATGGGGGTGGGGGTGAGGATTGGAGGGGTTGAGTATATTGGTACCTAGGATTAAATATAGAGCAAACCAAAAAGCCCGCCACCAGTCCCACTTCACTGCAGGCTTTGTGTGAGATTCAATATATGTAACCTAGCGAATTATGATGGAATGACTCAGTATTAAAAATAAGTTTTCAGATTGTTACTGTGGCATTGAGTAACACTTGTTAAAAGTTTTAGAGCTGAATGTCTCAAGCATGCTGAGGATGCTGGCAGAAGATGTTGTAAAGTAGCGCCCATTCTTACTGTAAGCATTCGTCCCATCAAGGGAAAAATCCTGAAATAATGCTTTGAAGAGTGACTTCAGCAGTATCTTTCCTGTGGGAACGTGGGAGTGGTGGAATGGCAGATTCTGGAATCTTCTCAACAGCCCCTGATGAATTTAGACAGAATCTGTGTAACTGGAATGTACTGTAGATGCAGGGCAGTTTCATCATGAATGTCTGAACTCAGATGAGTTTTTAATATGATAGAAGAAGGGAGTTGCAGCTTTTTTTTTTAAAGTAAGAAGTCCTTGCTGAATAATGGTTAAATACTCCTGTGGATAAAACCTCCAGTGACAGGCTTTGGGAAGACAGAAGGGCATAAAGACAGGTGGCACATAGTAAATGGGAAGGCAGACTAGTATAAGCTTTACCATATAGGAAACAACATAGAGACAACACCAAATTTAAGGTGCTACAAATGTAGTATGTAAAGTGTAGTAAACTCGAAGTAACAGTGAGATGAATTAGGGAGTATTTCTGAATTGTAAAATTTGAAGGGGACTTGGGAGGTGATGGATTAGAGTCATTAAAGAGGCATCGGCTATAGAGTTAGAGGAAACTTGGTTCAGATTTTGGTTGGGGTTTATACTGTGTGACCTTGGGCAGTTCACTTCTTTATCCTTATCTATAAAATATGTATGAGCATTCAAGTAAATGATAGGAATAAAAGAAAAGATCTTCCAGGCAGAAAGTATAGAATGTACAGTGTACACTCTGGTATGAATGACTGAGTTGTGTTTGTCAGGGGAATAAGTGAGAATGATTGGAGAGAATGTGGGCTGGTCAGGTCATGGGTAGAGCAAGCAAGAGGGTGAGGGGACTCAGTAGCCTGACTGTGTTGTATGTCGATGGAAGAAGGGTCAGTAGAGTCATTGTAGGTCCTTGAACAAAGGATGGATTTAATGAGAATTATTGAGCCTTCTGGTCCAGGAACTCAGGGACAAGGAGTCAGGCAGGCACCGGTACACTGTGACTCCTTTTCTGCACCATCCTGGCTTAAAGGGATCAGCCAGAAGACGTAAGATTCCTGTACAAGTTTTTGTATTCACATATGTCACTTGCTATACTGAGCTCTGCTTGTGCCCGCCTCACATTGTACCGACCTGTGGGGAAGTCTCAAGACTATGTTCAGATTCTCCTTAAGAGCTTATGGTATGGGCTGTATCATGTTTTAAGTCCATTTAACTTTTCTCTGCTATTGCAGGGAGTACTAATATAGATGATTCAGAACTTAATAAAGAAATTTCTTGGCTTGAATGCATTATTATTATTATTGTTTAATCCTCATCCAAGGGCATGCTTATTGATTTGAGAAAGGGTGAGAGAAACATTGATATGAGAAACCAATCAGTTGCCTCTTGCATGCATTCCATCTGGGGACCAAACCTGCAACCCAGGCGAGTGCCCTGACCAGGAGTCAGACTCGCGTGACCATCTGGAGTGTCATCGTATAGATGACACTCCAACCACCCGAGCTACACTGGGCAGGGTGAAATGCATTATTTTTAAAATCAGGTTTGTTTTCATGTTTTGGGGATCATACTGATGTTGAAATGAATTTGCTTTTCTAAGCCTATATTACCTGATGGTAAAGAGAGTATACCAATGGCTAAGAACAGTCGATCTTGGATTAAAAATTTTGCTTCAGAATTCCATAAAATGATTAATCCATGTGTGGATAATTAAGACTAGACTGTGTATGTTCACAAAGAACAATTTGTTTTCAAAATCTGTGGGTCCAGTGTGGCCTCTTAGGCTGTCTGCCTTTTGCTCAAGGGTGATCGGTAGCTGATACCTCTGTTGCAGACAGAATAAGTCTCCACTCACAGTATTTGGAGGAATATTACTGTGATCTGTTGCATTGTTGAAAGTTTTTTTTTTTTTTACTTGAAGATTAAAGTGGCTTTTTGAAAAGATTTGGGCTTTGTAGAACCTCTTCCAGATATCAGCTCCACTGAAAATCTGTCAGATTTTTTTCTTTTGAAGTAAACTTGTTTGAAAATATGGCCAATTAAAAAAGAAAGAACTGGTGTGGCTCTGTTGGTGGGTGTCGTCCCACAGGGCAGGGGGTTGATTCTGTCAGGGCACATGCCTGGGGTTCAGGTTTGGTTGGGGGCGTGTAAGGGAGGCAAATAGGTGTTTCTCACACTGATTTTACTCTCCTTTTTCCCTCCCTTCCCTTCTCTCTAAAAAAATAAAATCATTTAAAAAAAAAAGGAATGAGGAGAAATATCTGCATTTAAGAATAAGCATACAAAGAAATCACAGCCGTCCTGTCATTGGACTTGCTGTTCTCCATCCTGCCTGGCCCCGCCCCGCCCCCCAACCCTCTCCTCGTCATCACCAAGCTATGTGCTTGTGATGTCATGAGCACAGGATTATTATTTACCTCTTGAGTCAGGAG